AGTCATTTGGGGAAGCCGAGCTCAGCCACTCCTATCTGTGACCTTCAAGGAGGCTGGCCTGATAAGCCCTGTGGCCAACAAAATGTTTGAGGGCACTGCTGCTGCTCCTCCCTACCCCCTCAGGCGCTGAGATTGACACCCCCTTTGCCAGATGTGCTCAAGTACTGACCCTGAAACTGTGCCATTTAACAAAGCCCTCCGCGGTGATGCAAAGGTCCCTGGACCAGGAGCTGAGAACGATCGCTTGACTAGGCTGCTCAAATGCACTGGCTTCAGCTCCTTATGGCATCCGGAATTGGAGCTGGGAGGATTTTGCTCAGGTTGGTGAAGGGCAGCAGAGGCCTGGGTACTTGTCCCCACTCTGCCGTGGAGTTGCTGTGTAACTAGGTTTGGGGGAAGAGCTGCAGGTAACTGACCTGCTCCGTTATTCTCATCTGCAAAATGGGGCTATCCCTTGCCCATCTCACAGGAACGCTAGAAGGCTTATGATGGTCCTAAATTGCTAAGGTGCCTAGAGAAAATCCCACTCCATTCAGATTGGAGACCCTCTGAGGAAAGTGGGACATGTTTTAGGCCCCATGTGCAACCAGATTCATCCATATCCATTGTCGGTCTTTAAAGAATGCTAGTAACACCCTGGTGAGGCTGGGAAGGAATGTCTCCATTGGGAACTGCAGCATGGAGAGACCGAGTGACTTGCACTCGGTCAAACAGGAAGTCTGTGGCTGAGCAAGGAATTAAACCTGGGCTTAAGTCCCAGGCTGCTGCTCTAACCACTGGACAATAGGTTAAAAACAGGGAGACAAATCCAGCTCTCGAGCTGCGTTCTGTGTGATTCTGGGAAGGGCAGCGACAAGGCTGGATAGGTGGCTGGGAGGGATGGGCCAATGACCCTGTTCATTACTGAACCTGCAGGGCTTTCAGGTGGTTTAAGTGAGGCCTTCGGTTTTGCTTTGGTCCCACATCTGGATGACTGTTCTTAAAATAAACCGCAGACTGATAGAGATGTTGCCATGATGTTTTCTTAATTCCATCGGAAACAGTTCCTCTCAAATCACCACTCTCCTGCCAGGAGTAAGCCAAACACTGCAGTGCTGAGAACCTGGCAGAGAAACTGTCCTCCCTGACTCCTGTTGTCCCACCACTGAAGGTAAAGGGCACAAAAAAGGAAAAATAAACAAGGTGATTGAAATCCTTCCCCGAGGGAAGGGGTTACTAATGCAGGTAGAGAGCTCCCTGTTTGCAGTAAGTTTTAAGTGTGCAGGGCTCCTTGTAATAGACAAGAGCACACATCTGGCCAGCTGTCGGGATCTCTGCCAGTCTAGAGCTGCACCAATGGCAGTGCAGCTGTGGGAGATCTAAATGGCCCATCGTAGTCAAGGCCTTAGGGGATATCATGAGAGCAGCAGGGGCCGTGGCTGCAAATACGTTAATTGTGGGAACATCCAGTGGCAGCTTTCTAGAGAGCACGGTAATGCTGGTGCCGTTGCACCTGTATGAGTCTTGCCCAGCCTTTGCTGTTACTCATTTGTGTTACCATAGCACCCGGAAGCCCTAACTCTGGACCAGGACCCCCCATGGTAGGCGCTGTACAAACACAAAACACAAAGACAGTCCCTGCCCCGAAAGAACTTACAGTCCAGCTGTTAGACTGGAGACAACAGGTAGGTACAGCTGAACGGTGGAGTGCCAGGACACAATGAAACAGCTTTACATGCAGACTTGGTTTTGACCCGTGCTCAGGGTCAGAGTGCCCCCATCTTTGAGATACCGGCATGTGCCACCATGGGAAGGGAAAAGCGTCCTGTCTGCCTCCCCACCATCCTGTCAGGAGAGAGGCAACTCATGGCGTTCTCTGTAGTGTTGCCTAAGGGAAGCTGCATAACATACGTATTGTTGGGAAGGCAGATGGGCCTTACTCAGAGATTGAGGCACCACCATCGCCATTTGGATCTATTCCAGTGGTGCTTAGCTCCCCTTGCGGGCAGGCAGGAACTCGGCTTTAGAGGGAGCAAAGAAGCCTTTTGCTCAATGCTTATGAAAGTAAAACGTTGACCCCTTGAGGTTTTTCTGAGCCTTCCGTTTTTCAGCTGTGGTCTCGGTGGTTTTTTTCCCATCCTGCCTTAGGAAGCCAGCTGCTCTGCTGTTGGGCTCTTTACCCTGCAATTACTCTTCATCTCTTTCCTGAACAGCCCAGTGTTGTTAGCTCTGTCTAGCACAAGGAAACCGAGTTGGCTGTGGGGGCGGAGTAGGCAGCAGTATGTCTCTTAGCAATGCAGGTTCCAGAGCGAGGCAGGGCAGGCTCCCTCTCTTAGGATAAATCAGTCTGTCCTGCTCCGGCAGAAGACAAGAGCATGTGATGCTGTCTTTTTCTGGGGTTGGCGGAGGAGGAAGGCAGTGGGAATTTTGGCAGCATAACGTCTGTGTTTGCACCCCACACGCGGAGGAGATGGTCTTGTGGGTGGGGCACTGGACTGGGACCATGACCTGGGTCCAGTTCCTGGCTCTGACAAACACTTCCAGTGACTGTCCAATGCTGGATCTCTCTGCGCCTCCGTTTCCGTGTTTGTAAAATGTCTTGTCTGTTTAGAGCATGAGCTTTCCAGGAAAGGACCCTCTCTTACGAGGTGTATATACAGCCCCTCGCACAACGGGGCTGTGATCTCAGCTGGGCCTACAGCGTCCCAGAGAAGGTTTGTTCTAGTTTCATGTATTCACGGGCCACACAGAGTCAAAATGTCCAACTGGGTAAATAATGAAATAGCTTTCCTGAAATTCACTTCAGAACGAAGGGGTAGCACAGTTAGGCTTCTCCGATAACTGACTCTGTAACAGGTCTGCGTCCGTTCATCAGAGCAGGCCCTATTGGTCTCAGTAGATAGATGCTTGATCTACAGTCGAGCAGGCTCTTACGGTAATTTTTTTACACACCTGGCGGTGCTCCGGGTCTTCGGCAGCACTTCGGCAGCGGGTCCTTCACTCGCTCCGGGTGTGTTAGGCGGCACTGAAGGACCCACCGCCAAAGTGCTGCTGAAGACCCGGTGTGCCGCCCTGTCAGTAAAAGCACCGCCGGGTGAGTAAAAGTGCCGCAGCAGGTGGTACCTTTTTTTTGTGATCGCTCCCCCTGTTTGTTCCACCTGGCTACACCACTGCTCTTACCATTGACGAAGAGAGGCACAGTGTTCAAATCCTGCCACTGCTCTTTGCGCTGCAGTAGGAGGTGGAGGATGACTCCAGTCATTGCTATAGGAAAACAGAGGCTTTCCAACACTTGGGTCCACTTTGCAAAGAGCTTGGCGGTCCCGCGGTCTTGAAACAGGGAAGGAATGGAGCCAGAGCTGGGGGTATAGTCAAAACATTTGAGGCTGGGGAGTTACACTTATTACCAGTTCTGTGTTTCACCTGCCACAGATGTACTTCTGAAGGAAGGAGAGCTAGAAATTAAGCTCCTCTACAGTCTGGCTGGTATTCTATGGAAGTGCCTTGTAATCTCAGTCATGGAACAGGAACTCAGTGCTAGGTGTTGTCCAAACAGAACAAAAAGACCATCCTTGCCCCCAAAGAGCTTACCATCTGCAGCTGTTACCTTGAACCAAGATTCTTTGAGAGAGAGAGTGTGTGTGTGTGTGTGTGTGTGTGTGTGTGTGTGTGTGTGTGTGTGTGTGTGTGT